CAGGTCATTCATTTGGAAAAGTGTGGGTGGGGCTGCAAATTGGAAGGGGTAGGGTCTTGGAATCACCAGGATGGAGCATATAGCATGAGCCAGGTTTCTGTAAACTCGGATATGGCTGCCAGTAAGCTCTGTGATGAGGGAGGTCTCAGCATAGGAACAATAACCCCTATGAGCTCCCCTGTCTTGGAAAAAACTGTCTCCCAGTTCTTGTTCCAATGCTAGACAATACAGTTCCTTCCCATATGTCCCTGGACCCCACGCCCCTACCCCTGCCTCAAGCTGCTGCCCTAGTGCTGGACCTCAGAGTGAGGGAGGGAGTCTGAGTAAGTTTGTACACCGACCCTTTAAGACAGTGTTTCTCAACCTTGACTGCACATTAGAATCACCTGGGAATCTTTTTAAAATCCTGATTTCTGGGCCTCATCCTCTGGAAATTCTGTTTCTTTGTTACTAATGTTGTGGCCTCACCCCATAACAAAGAAACAGAATTTCTGGAGGATGAGGCCCAGAAATCAGGATTTTAAAAAGATTCCCAGGTGATTCTAATGTGCAGCCAAGGTTGAGAACCACTGCTTTAAGAGGAACTATCTGGGTCTCCAGCAGCCTCCATGTCACTGAGCCACAATCTCCACTAGTTTTTATAGCCTGAAGTTATGGGCACTTCTCTTCCTTGCTCTGGAACCCTAAGCTGGGGGTCTGGAGTGGACTCATACCCCTTGCTCCTCATGGGAGGCCTCTGCAGCTGTGATATCCCTCCCAATGAAAAAAAACAAACACCACACATCAGTGTCAGACCAGCCTGCTTACTCATCCACCCCTCCTATCAGTCTCAGTGTGCTTTCTTCTTTACTTCTCTAGTTGGACTTCCATTCAGCCAGATTTCAGGTGGTTCTGAATGATGCTTATTCTGTATTATAGTTGTAATTTTGATGTGCTTGTGAAAGGCAGTGAGTAATGGCATTTACCTACACCACCATCTTGGTTCTCCCAATTCCCTTAATATTAGTGTTCAAGTTTTTCATTGATGTTTCTTTAGTCTATGATTTTATATATTACTAGAGGCCCGGTGCACAAAAATTTGTGCCCTCGGGGGGAAGGAGGGATCCCCCAGCCTAGCCTGTGCCCTCTCACAGTCTGGGACCCCTTGGGAGATAACGCCCTGCTGGCTTAGGCCTGCTCCCGGGTGGCAGAGGGCAGGCCCAATCCCTAGGTGCAGCCCCTGGTCGGGCTCAGAGCAGGGCCGATTGGGGAGTTGGGGCGCTGCCCCCTGTCATGCACAGAGCAGGGCGGATCGGGAGGTTGCAATGCCACCCCCAGTCATGCTCAGGGTAGGACTGATTGGGGGGTTGGGGCACCGCCCCCTGTCACACTCAAGGTAGGGTTGATGGGGAGGTTGCAGCGCCACCCCCTGTCACTCACAGAGCAGAGCCGGTTAGGGGGTTGGGGCTCCTTACCCCATCAAGCACAGAGCAGGGTCAATCGGGGTTGGGGAGCGCCCCCCTGTCACGCACAGAGCAGGGCCCATCAGGGGGGTGGGGGGGGTTACGGGCTGTGCTGCAGGCCACTGCCTGAGGCCCCA